CTCATCCAGTCATCAATTTTGGCCCGCGAAAATTAATTCAAAAAAACTGATCCAGAATCTTCTTGAATGCATGCCTATAAAAATTCTGCTTTACTGCCATAAAGAGAAGCCCTTTAAAGATGAGAACAAGTTTTTCTTGCTGCTCTTATTCAAAGCAGAAATATCCGTATACAAGGATGACCATGGATAAAGATGCATATGCAGGCCAAACGGCATAAAGTGTTGTCACCCATCACCAAAATACAAAAAGGAAAGAAACTAAAAGAGTAAAAACTCAAGGTGTCACATCAAGATAAGAAATTAATGTAAGCAAGCTGTGAGTGTATACATCAAGATCAACATTTTTAAAATTTAAGCATGTTAAATTTAAAGTAACATGAATCATTGACGAGGACTGCTATTCGCTAAATAACAGCATCCTCGAAGGCCATTTCCTAATTTAGTCCCTAAGCTGAAAACACTCGAAGGAAGACAGAAATACAAAACACATAAAAATAAAGACCTCAGAAACATTCTCATTATATTGATCGAAATAACAGGACGCAATGGTTGAACAAAAAAGGGAAAAAAAACAATGAGTTACCTGCCATGCACACAACTCTTTCCGACTGAGAAGTGCTTACATGTTGTAAAAATAGTTATAGAACATGATATAACATTTCTGATAGAATTGATTCCTGGAGAGGTCACACAAAAACAATAGATTAGAAACCGATAGGATATCCCACTCTTCACAGGGGACAAAATAATGTAAGAAACCACTCAGAAAGAAAATTGACACTTGTTCAATCAATCTCCCCAGTTTTCGGGTAAGAATTTCTGTTTAGGATGAGGAGGGAAGACGATAAAAAGAAAACAGCAGTTATACCCTGCAATGAATTTGTCAAAAATCTGGATAGCGTATGTAACCAGTGCCAGGGGGAAGAGATGACACGAGCTGCCCCTCACCATCACCCACAGCATATTATAGAGAAACATCTCATAAATACAGCAGGTGAGTGAACAAACAAACAAAACAATTTTGGGCCAAAAGTGGAGATGATTAAAAACAGAAGAGAAGAAAACAAAAGAGTGAATTTCTTCAATTTTGTCTGATATTCCTGAAGGTCCAAGTGTTTAACTGACTTGAAAAGTCGTTTGTTTGCATATTACTAATTATCAATGTCCTGCCGATAACTACAAAATCTTCATTATTGTTTCTCATTGGTATTACCCTTACCTATAAGAGCTCAGTGAAAATTACTTAGTTGCAAGAACGTCATGAGTTGATACCAAATTTATTATGTAACCACTTTCAGGCATCAAGGTCTTTCTCCTGATAAAAGAGAGAGGCATTTGTCTCCTCAAACCTAGAACTTTCGAGTTTAGACATGATCAAATGTTTCCATGCCAAACTTATACTGAAATGCGTCTAGCCATTGTTGTTTAATCAAAAATTTTATTTTATTGTTGCCCAATATTTTTCGGTTAAAAATTTTATTGCAAATTAATGCCCCGTTAATTTACAGTATCAATCAAATCTGGCTTTAACACCTTAATCCCTATTAATTTATATTCTACATAGCATTCTATAATACAAAGAACAAGTACTACAACAGCTCCTAATCTTCTATTTCTCTATCCAACTTCAGCAGCATAATGACCTATTTTATGCATTCTTGTGCACGATTAAACTCCATAGCGATAATCTCCAACAAATTTACCTTAAAAAACTCAGGGAAGTTCTCTATTTCCTTCTGATCCTTCCATATACTATCAGGTGTCCATATTGTCCCTGGCAAAGGTCTGCTTGGCTTGTCCAACGGAATTGGATCTTCAACTTCGAAGCCCCATAGCTATCATGTAATAAGTTGGCTGATTCATAATATTCTGTGTGAAAATTTGTGTCGACACACTTAGAACTCAGTATTGAGGTACCATGGGCAAGTTAATAAATTGATAAGATAATGTACCACCTAATTATTTCCTTTCCCTGAATATAGTGCAACCTGAATTAAGGATGAGCCATATAATGCCATTATCCTTTGTGATCCACCTAGAAGCCATAAGAAAAAAACTATATATACAAATAAGGAGGATTAGACAAAAATGAGTGAATGAGTAGTAGGCATAATAATGTAGGATATAAGGGGTATATTGAAAAAAAAGTACTAGTGGAAATAAATCATCTTGATTCCGGATCGGTCTCATAAGACCATTTTGGAAGAAGAACGACGAGGGGAACAATACACACAGCTACGTTGAATTTCGGCCGTTCGAGTTCGTTTAGGCCTCAAAAACTGATTTTTAAAGTTTTAGCGTTATTTTTGTCAATTCGTTTATTTTCGTTTTTTTTATAATTCTAGTTTGATTAAACTTCTTTTTCATTACTTTTAGTTGTTCTAAACTACGTTTCCATGTAAACCCTTATAAATAAGGGCTTAGTTCTTTTTTTATTATCTTTTCATTAATAAATTCGTGAGTTTATTTTCTTTATTATTTGATGGATTCAAAATTACTTGTCCTTAAAGTTTTCGCTTGAATTCCTTTCTTTCGTTGCGTCACATCATAAACTTTTCAGAGCTTTTGGAGAGGTTTTGTACAAAAGAAGATAGACACTACCAAAAATCTTTGCGATAAGCTTGAGAGAACCAAAGAGAACTTGGATAAATATAATGACAGCAAAACTGTATGTTATGTCCAATTTGACACGTCGTTTTATCTTAGTAACAAATGGCTACTTCAAATTTAATTTAAAATCATCAACTCGATATTGTGATAATTTACGTGAGTCATATTTAACTCTTTCCCTTAAAACTAAAAATTACTGTTTATTCAATTTAAGTCAAATATTAATTCCAATTACATGTAAATACTATTCATCTTTCTAATAATTCTACACGACACTAACAATGATAAGATAATCTTCAAGCATACCTACAATATAGCAAGTGCGTCATCTCCCATGCAGGAAGTAGGGTCAATGGCCACGTTATTCTCACATATTACCTTCAGCTCTTATTCAATCTCAACACGGCACCCGTGATTCAAGAAAACCCACAAAAAATGTCTTCTCGGAATCTCCAAAACGTCTCGAAAAACCCATCAACTTGAAAGAAGCCTTTTTGGTCACTCACCAATAGTATAAGCTTTCATTATAATAAAAAACAATGTCTAGATGAAGCTCTCTCTATGGCACTAGATTTATTTGCAAGCGAGAAGTGTCTGTCACTAGGCAGACAAATACATGTCCATGTAGTAAAACGTATCAATCTCTGTGATTAGTGTTCTTGAATACAAAGCTTGTGCTTATGTATGGGAACTGTCGATGTTTATTATACGCTGAGAGGATGTTTGATGAAATGCTTTATTATACGCTACGAGGATGTTTGATGAAATGCTTGAAAGAAATATTTTTACTTACAATGCTACGCTTGGTGCTTACATGTCAAATGTAGAGTTTTGGGAAGCAGTTAAACTTTTTGCTGAAATGCGATTCTTGGAAATCCCTATGGATAGGGATGGCAATCGGGCTCGTTGGCTTGAGCCGCCCGTGGTTCGGCTGGGAAAAAGCTGGAGCCCGCCTGGCTTGAGGCTCGGGTCAAGCCCCATTTTGAGATGCGGGGCAAAGCCTGAGCCGGCTTGTGTGGCTCGCCGGCTCGGGTTCACAAGCATATATTTTAAAAAAAAATGTTTTAAAGGCAACAAGATGTTGCCTTGCCTAAAACTTGCTACCTTATTTTTAAGGCAACAATCATGCCAGGTTTATAAAAAACAAAAACAAAACCGAGTCGAATGCTTGGGTCAAGCCTAATTTTTTTAGTCGAACTTTTACTTTGCCCGGCCCGGGTCAAGTCCGGAAAAAAGCTTGAGCCGAGCCCGAGCCTTAAATTTCTGCTCGCGAGCCAACTCGGCTTGTTGACATCCCTACCTGTTGATGCCCATACTTTTAGTTGTGTATTAAAGGCATGTGGTGGTGTTAAAAACTTGTCTGTTGGGAGAGAAATTTATGCATTGGTTAAAAATTTGTGTTCGTTCGTTATGATATTTAGTTAATTCTTTGGTAAGCATGTATTCCAGGTGCAATCATCTTAATGTTGGAAATTATGTTGGTGGAATGACACCGAATGTATGGATACCATATATGTAGCATACCGTATATGCAGTTTAGATACCGTATATGCAGCATACCGTATATGCACAGATTATATACCGGATTTGCACAAACTTGATTTTACGCATACAATAAGATTAAATATCGGGTTTTCTCATACCGTTTTATAATATTAGTTAATTACACAATAAACTAAATTATCATAAACCACAATATATTAATCTAATTTAAAACTAAATTATATTAAGTTATGTAAGACACGTTAATTTAATAAATCTAAACGGGAAAGTTGAAAGTTAACAGAAATTTAAAAATTAAAGATATGTTTATAACTTCATTAAACTTTTAACCAGAGGCCTGTGTAAACACAGTGTCCTTAAAACAGATTCGCCCTCTCACCGTACGTGCTTGAGTTTTAGTTCGAACGTCTGTTTCTTAGGATACAACGGTATATAGTAGAATCTAAGCACCGTAGATACTACTCTGGCTAACTGATCTAGTATCCGAACAATATCACCACAAGAACAAGACCTTACTGGACAAGGAATGCAAAGAAGAAACTGTGTATGCAGGAATGTAGGTGAGATTTTCGAGTGTGTTAGAATGCTGGAGAATGAGCCATTTTATAGGCATACTGCCCATTAATATTGTAACCATTGGGAGTCCATTGGAGTTACTTCCCATTAACACTGTGACCATTAGGAGTCCATTGGAGTTTTTGCAGTTTAGAAACTCAAAAGTCACTGGAGAAAGCAAAAAAGAAATTGGCAAAACGTGAGCTCTCCGATGGGGCCATTTTTGCCATGTTCAGTTCGACATTCGTGTGCGCAGGTCGCGCCCGCACCCAAGTTCAAGGTCCGAAGGCCATTTCGGTTCGTGATTTGCATCCCCCATGCGCGCGCACCTGGAGAGAGCCTTCATGCTACACATGATTACACATCTCCAAAGTATAGCTATATATAAAGTGGTTTAAGTTTCCTTGGTTTTCCTATGTGGGATAAATGCATTTTTTCCCACAAAACCAACTTCCAATGACCAACTTTAAGCTTCAATTTCTCATTCACCCGAGCTTCATTTTTGGCAAATAAATACATGAAATCAATGTTCTCGCGGAGGAGAATACATATCAACTTTGATATTTCATATTGGACCAACGGGTCCCATCAAAAATTGTGCCAAAAGTGAGCCGCTCACTCAATTTTTTCCAACAATCCCCCACATGAATAAAAATTAGGAGAGACACGAAACGTAAGACACAAGACTTGGTGATAAAGTTTAGTGGTTGAATCCTGCATAGGATAGGTAGGTGTTATCGTTTGAACCTTCCCTTGTGCAAGCATATTTACTTTACTGGCTGACCAGTAGACGCGATGTCCTTGAACTGTTCTGCCGTTTGTGTAAACGATGATATGCCTCACACATGATTTTTCCTAACACAATTTAGTTCTCATTGTTATGTTCGTTTTGGCCATGAATACATGCCTGGTTCTATGAGAGTTCTTAAAAATTGAGCCCCACACAATTCTGTTAGAAGCGGCCCCACTTCTTTCTCACATAGGTGATTTCTTATTACAAGTAACCCGCATTACTTGGCTCGATTTACGACACATAAGGATCATTAAAAGCCTATTGCTTAACCTTCAACCTTACAGGCATCACTGTTACATCATAGGAATGGATAGGAGGTAATAACCCACAGTGATTTTATCAAGTCTGTACAGTTAGGTTTTCCCATTGAACCTAAATCTTGGAATCTTCAGTCAACTAGGTTGGGTTTTCCTTTGTAATGACTTATTCTTTCAAGGGCTTAAGTCTCATTCCTTTCGATGATTTCATAATTAACTCTCTATTTAACCCTT